AAGAGATGGAGCAAACATGCTCTATCTCTCCTTCTGTTGTAGTGAGGAAAAAGTCTGTGTTTAGGTATAACAACAAAAGCTTAAAATTTAATTTAACCAAATGCAGAATAGTATGCAGGCCGTTGGACCTCTCAACTAATTACAAAATGGTCAACTTAAATTTTAAAATATAGAATATTTACAGTCACAAGAAAGTGTTCATTGTTAGCTGACATAAGTTAACTACCAATGGCAACGAAAAGTTTAAAATTTAATTTAACCAAATGCAGAATAGTATGCAGGCCATTGGACCTCTCAACTAATTACAAAGTGGTCAACTTAAATTTTAAATATAGAATATTTACTGTCACAAGAAAGTTTTCATTGTTAGCTGACATAAGTAAACTACCAATGACAACGAAAAGTTTAAAATTTAATTTAACCAAATGCAGAATAGTATGCAGGCCGTTGGACCTCTCAACTAATTACAAAGTGGTCAACTTAAATTTTAAATATAGAATATTTACTGTCACAAGAAAGTTTTCATTGTTAGCTAACATAAGTAAACTACCAATGACAACGAAAAGTTTAAAATTTAATTTAACCAAATGCAGAATAGTATGCAGGCCGTTGGACCTCTCAACTAATTACAAAGTGGTCAACTTAAATTTTAAAGATAGAATATTTATAGTCACAAGAAAGTTTTCATTGTTAGCTGACATAAGTAAACTACCAATGACAACAAAAGTTTAAAACTTAATTTAACCAAATGCAGAATAGGATGCAGGCCGTTGGACCTCTCAACTAATTACAAAATGGTCAACTTAAATTTTAAACATAGAATATTTACAGTCACTAGAAAGTGTTATTGTTAGCTGACACAAGTAAACTACCAATGACAACGAAAAGTTTAAAATTTAATTTAACCAAATGCAGAATAGTATGCAGGCCGTTGGACCTCTCAACTAATTACAAAGTGGTCAGCTTAAATTTTAATGATAGAATATTTACAGTCACAAGAAAGTGTTATTGTTAGCTGACATAAGTAAACTACCAATGACAACAAAGGTTTAAAATTTAATTTAACCAAATGCAGAATAGTATGCAGGCCGTTGGACCTCTCAACTAATTACAAAGTGGTCAACTTAAATTTTAAAGATAGAATATTTATAGTCACAAGAAAGTTTTCATTGTTAGCTGACATAAGTAAACTACCAATGACAACAAAAGTTTAAAACTTAATTTAACCAAATGCAGAATAGGATGCAGGCCGTTGGACCACTCAACTAATTACAAAATGGTCAACTTAAATTTTAAACATAGAATATTTACAGTCACTAGAAAGTGTTATTGTTAGCTGACATAAGTAAACTACCAATGACAACGAAAAGTTTAAAATTTAATCTAACCAAATGCAGAATAGTATGCAGGCCGTTGGACCTCTCAACTAATTACAAAGTGGTCAACTTAAATTTTAAAGATAGAATATTTACAGTCACAAGAAAGTGTTATTGTTAGCTGACATAAGTAAACTACCAATGACAACAAAGGTTTAAAATTTAATTTAACCAAATGCAGAATAGTATGCAGGCCGTTGGACCTCTCAACTAATTACAAAATGGTCAACTTAAATTTTAAATATAGAATATTTACAGTCACAAGAAAGGGTTCATTGTTAGCTGACATAAGTAAACTACCAATGACAACGAAAAGTTTAAAATTTAATTTAACCAAATGCAGAATAGTATGCAGGCCGTTGGACCTCTCAACTAATTACAAAGTGGTCAACTTAAATTTTAAAGATAGAATATTTATAGTCACAAGAAAGTTTTCATTGTTAGCTGACATAAGTAAACTACCAATGACAACAAAAGTTTAAAACTTAATTTAACCAAATGCAGAATAGTATGCAGGCCGTTGGACCTCTCAACTAATTACAAAATGGTCAACTTAAATTTTAAATATAGAATATTTACAGTCACAAAAGATTGTTCATTTTAATGGGGGACTTCTTTATCCTTTGTTAGCTGAAATATCACATGATTAGAAAAATACAACACTCTGCGCAATTCAAGTACTAAAGACACGATGCACTCCATAAAGTAAAACCATCTAAGATACAAGCTAAAAAAAACAACATGCAGCACATGCTATTGACTAAAACATTAAGTTAGATTGGCCAAATCTAACGAAAGGTTTTAATCAAAAGTCAGTCAGTCTACACTCAACCAGTCAGCTGTGCCAGTTGGGTGAGACTGACTACAGTCCGTTCGCTGCCGCTACTTTTATCCGCGAGCCAGTTGGGAGGGGGTCGGTTGGGAGGTTTACCCTGCTTCGCGGGTAAATTTCCCTACTGTCGGGTAATTCTACCTACTAAGTAAGGAAGTCTCCAAACCTCCAACATCACATCATTCAGTGTCGAACCTTCAACGAAGACTGTTCACATATGCTAGCTCTGTTCTGATGTTAACTATGGATAAGCCAAGTACAATCACACAAGATAAACTAAAGAGAATAAAAGAAGATTTAAAGAAATCTACTACTACTAAAACTAGCAATTTTCGCAAGTCAATGTCACTACGTCTAAAGTTTCAGAAGCAAATTAAATTACCACTACATTGGAATGCATCAGGATCAAATTATTCTAATCAATTATCAACCGAAGCCATATGTCAAGAAATGAAGCTTCCTCAACTAGTAAGTCCAATAGAAACAGAAAAAGTAACATTTAAATATCTGTTACAAAACAAACATTATCAATTAGTAGAACAAAGACAAAACGAAAATGGTAAAACGTTTATTTTCTTTTATGACAACAAGTTTTTAGAGGTTTGCTTTCCGACACGATTAAATGTGCCAAAGCCTCCTGACGTTGAAGATGGCAAACTAATTTATTTGATTCGCACAAGTCAGGACACATGGAATTGGGTATAATTAACTAAAAAAAAACAGTCTTTCTAAAGACTCCATTATATAAACATATTTTGACCACAAAGTCTGATCTGTCAAACTGTTTAACAAAATATAAACGATATTTAATTTTACTTTATTTTTTACGTCACGGTCTCCAGTACCCGTAATACACCACTAATTAAGTTTTTTTTTTAAGACCAACAAATATTTACTAACATGGGGAAAATATATCTACTATTTTGGAACGTATTTCTGTATAAACATCTTTTAACCACAAACAGCTAACCTGCGACTATCTATCATAAGATATAAATTAAAATTGGTTTTTACAATACCTTGTGTTGTTGAGTCAATCGAGGTGTAGTATTACGATGGCATCAACGATGCAAACGATAGACCCAGGACCGTACAACACTCCGCCGCTATGTCCGAAAGCAAACTGTAGAACTGTGGATACAAATCCACATGGAGGTTGAGTAGGGGCATTTGACCTTGTTCCACTGCCCGCTCACTTTCCCTTCGCGGCCTCAGCCTAATTCACGGCGGCCGGTGACACAACCTTGCACCACGCCGCCGCGGGCACTAGTACAATACTGTAGGCTACTGTTAAATGTTACCGTCGACAATATGATTTTAACTCAATTTATTGTCTACATGTAAGCTGTGTTTTGTTAAAACCTTGGTGTAGCTGTTGGTTGATATTCCCAATACATTTAAGACAATTGCAAACGAACAAGTATTAGCTATTTAAACACACTACTGTACAGACAGCTGTTTCATCCCCTATCCATTACCACCAGCTCCTACCACCTGTATCCTGTTACCACCTGCTTGCTGCACTTGTGACGACGTACGCTAATTTTATACAAAACGTCAGAAGTGACGTACCACCGGAAATCTGCTATAACTACGCCATTTCCGCCCCTATCTTCAAAACAGCTGTTCGCGATAGGTCCACCAGTTCACCACTACTGATGTCAACAAGTAGGCTAATGTATAGACTTTAAAAGGAAATAACAATAAATATAACTTTGTAGGCAATAACAACTAATACTGCAAATAGTCTCTTCCTTTTGTGAAATAAATCTATAAAAACATAACAACATGTGGTAACTTGCGGTAACGACGAACGGTAGCTTCAGGTAGTGGGCGGACGGCACCGGAGGGGGAAGAAGCAGGGCGGAGAGGGGCCATGATCCAGGGGTAGCCAAGTTGGAAAATTCCTCTCCGCCAAGGCTGATGCGGTCTAAATAATTTTCCTCATCACGGGCCCCATCAAGGTGCCGGTGGCACGAGAAACTACTCCATCGACGAATACATACTCACAGCAATATAAAAATCATGGAGAAACAAGTCATAGAAAATACCAAACTTGGATAAAAGTGGATAAAAGTGGACGGACGAAGTAGTCAGAAGCACCGTCACTCAACCTATGACACTTGACGGTGGGAGCAAGAAGAACAAGGCACAGCCTTGTTGAGGGTCGTGGGAAGTAACAAAACGACACACTAGACTAACCTACTATACAAAAAAAACTTTGACCATTGATTATGAGTCGTGACATTCGCCGGTGGAATTAGTCACGGCTCAAGATCAAATTTTCAACTTTAGTTTATATCTTCAAGACCATTTAAGTCATCGAAGTGGTTTTTATCTCAATTTATAGCAAATTTAATTATGAACAAAACATGTTATTTACAAAATGGCGTAAATGTGTCCTTTTCGGTGATATTAGGCAATTTTCAATGAATAGTTCAATTCCTCTAAAGAAAACAAAGATGGCGTCGTATTTCAAGATGGCGGACCTAAAAATCGGGCACCCCCCATAATTTTTTTGTATTTAGGGTATAGAAGAAATGTGCAAAAGCTGCAGCTTTAATCCATCAGGTCACGATCCTTGCTGATATTGTCTCTAAGCCACTACACTAATAAGAGTATTTTACAAAACGGCATCCTGTTACCAGAATCATAGTATTCTTTTTTACCGATTCATTTAGTTCCAGGCGTTGCTCCGAAAGTCACTGCTTTGAAACACATTCTTAGAGCAGAGCATTTTGAAGCAGTGTCTCAGAGGCACATATGTTTTAACAATATGTTTAACTTTTTAGCGGCTCATTGCGTGGAAGACGTTCGAAATGTGGCCGATCTACGAGTGGCTTTGGGCAAATATTTTAGGTCATGGGATATACATGAGCACACTGAAGAAAAACGCAATGTGAGTAGACTTTGTTCACAAGTTAAATATTTTTGTTATATAAACTTTGGCCTAAAACTTTATAAAAAGGTTGCATAAAAGATACATTACTTGATTACTTTGATTTATGTTGTCAATTGGAGGTAGAGTCAGTAATAGTGGTAGTTATTCAGCATATTGCATGGCAATATTAGTGGTTTAAAATTTTTTTAGTATTAAAATAAGTGTACCTTGTTATACATACAAGAAAGCAGCCTTTTGTTTGAGTAATTTAGGTAGAAAGTGTATCCTGTAAATAAATACTACAAGCATTTTCAATCGTGAAAAAATAGACTTTAATATCCGTAAACTTATCTGTTTATAAAGGCAAAGAAAGACAGTGTTCTTAATCCCCTAAAAAAATTTAAATCGGGACTAATAGAACCGATTAAATACGTAATACTGTTTAAAAATAATTTAATAACAAAATATTTCTACCCTAAGCTGACTGAAATAGTGTTCTATCACTAAAGAGTATAACAATCACTTTATAATTTATAGAAGGTCACATAGCTTTTATATTGGAATATAAATAAATAACTGTTGTATATAACTTTTTCGCTACAGTACTGTGAAATGACCAGTTTTTTTAACATGTTAATCATCTACGAAAATTCATCATTACATTGTTTACTACGGAAAAAGAATGTTTACTATGCGAAAGAAAATTTTAACTATCTTTTTAGATTTTGCCAAAGTAAACAAACAAAGATTTGTTATTTGTTTGTCAAGTGTTTCAATTTTCAACAACCAAAACTGTACAACCAAAGTAAACTACGAGTATTAACTTTGAAGGTATAACCTAAAAAATGCTATAAGATTTGTAATGTTCCTATCTGTAATAAAGAAATATCGAATGTCTGTTTTAATTAAGAAAATAATTAATTAGTCTTTGTAGTGTAGCAGAAAGTAAAGTTCACAACACGAGTGAAAGTGAATGAATACATATTCTCGACCATTTAAAATACTCGATAAATCTCGCACTTCAAGCATGGTCTTAAATGACTCCCTTTCTACTCTGGTTATAAAATATACTATTTTACATTGCACGACTTTTACAAACTCATCCTTGTGCTTTCTTTATAGGGTGTGATAGTTTTGTAGGTCTATACTATTCACAGACGTTTGTAGAACTTGATCTTTACAGGTTTCGATGATAAAATTCCCTAGGGAATACAGCCAGAAAACATATCTTTTCGACATTGCGCTTTTGATGCTGGATGTGAAAATTAAGGCAGGAGAGTTCATAATGCCAGTCTGTCATGGATTTTTAGATGGTTCAAACTACATAAAAGACAAGAATTTGTTTGTAAGTATAGTAGAAATTAAGGTATACAGTATATGATACTATCAACAAATTGATAAATCAATCTTTATTGTGATAAGTCATAAAACACCATTGCAACGTAAAAACTGGGCTTCTGCCTGTGCGTGATGAGTTCTCACTGGCTGATCATGCAGATTGTAGTCATATTAAAATTGTTTACACTTCTTAATCTGCTTTAGGAATTATTACATCTATTTAAGGAAATTTTACTTGTAGAAGGAACGGTACAAACAATGATACATCAAAATTATAGCCAGTTTTTAATATTTTTTTAGCTTTTAGACACTGGTAAACAAAAAAACTTATTTTGGTCAAGCTATCAGCAATACTTTGTCATCAAATATTTCCTCCTATTTTCTTCACACAGTCCTTACAGTAAAAATATAATCTTTATAGGTCAACCGTTGATAAAACCAAATCATTTTATAGTGTTTATCCTTTTAAACTTCACACTAATGAACTTAAGGTATTTCTTGTTGCTACACTAAACCTTGTGTTCATTTAAGCATTTTAACGAATAATACAGGGTATCCATAAAATAACTGAAACATTTCAAAGGCAAATACTGATACCACATAAGATACTATGTTTAATGTTTTGTATATGTATTAAAAGCTAAAATTCTCAAGTTTTATTAGAAACTTAGTAGAACTCGATATGAGCACCATTAGTGGCCCGGCATAAATCTAAGCGAAATTTGACCTCTTGCCAGGTTTTGGTCAGTACTTCAGGGGATGTTGCATTAACACGTGCGATTATTCTCTGTCGGAGGTGATTCAGATCCTGAATCTGCACCGAGTAGACACCATTCTTTACTGACCCCTAAAGGAAAAAGTCCAGAGGAGTCATATCTGGACTCCAAGGAGGCCATTTGATGGGCCCTTCCCTTCCAATCCTGCGATATTCGAAACGAAAATCTAGTGCTTCTCGCACACACAAACTTTAGTGTGGTAGTGCTCCATACTGTTGAAAATTAACAGGGCCTTTCTCCATCTTAATGTCATCCAACTGTGGGAAAACGTACTCCTCGAACATGTCACAATAAATGCCACCGTTTATATCCCCTGAAGTACTGACAAAAACCTTGGAAGAGGTCAAATTTCACTTAGATTTATGCCGGGCCACTAATGGTGCTCATATCAAGTTCTACTAAGTTTCTAGTAAAATTGCGAATTTTTGCTTTAAATACATATATAAATCATTGAACATAGTCTTTATTTGGTATCAGTATTTGACTTTAAAATGTGTCAGTTATTTTGTGGACACCCTGTATATGAAATCAAAAGTGAAGGTTGGGTAACTATTCAAAAATTTTGAACCTGAATTTTATAACAAACAACTTGCTGTGTTTGATTTATAAAAATAAATGCAGTTACTATTCAATGACTTGATGTACCCACATGCATATTGTCAGCTTAATTTCATACTTGATGGAATAGGTATCTGTAGTATTAAAAATCTATAACTGAAGATTTATTTTAGTAGTTTGATATTTCGACATAAATGTAGCGGCATATCGTTTTTGATAACTCTTTTGTTTGAAATGTTTCTCACAGGTTGTAGGTTGGGGAAAGAAGGAAAACCAGATGAGTAGTGAAACCCTTCTGTACAACGATGTTACTCCGGTCCCGTCGTATGACTGCAATCAGCGAGCCCCTTCTCTTTGGCCAATCTTCGACAAGTTCTGTGCCAGCAAAAACAGTTCAGGTAATTTAATATTTAGACATTTTTAGGTTGAAAGCTCCCAAATAAACCACACAGGGACAAACTGAGGACTGAGGGATAACTGAGAACAAGTTCAGCAAGATTTCAGTAGTGGCAACTCAAATTCGATGATTCAAACACAGCCCGTAACTAGTCTTTCAATGATTATGGCTACAATATGGGAAGCGTTTTGACATGACCAGGCTACTAAAGAATGATTACCTTTCAGCATGAAAATAAAGTAGTTTTATAATTGTCATGATTCAAAGTCTGGATATGTTTCAGCATTATCAATCGCTCAACAAGGCGATAGTGGTGGGGGAGTTACGGCTGTCTACGAAGGACTTCACTATCTCTTTGGCTTGGTCAGCATAAGATTTGGAAAGACAACGTACTTCTCCAATATCACATGGCCCTTCAACATGATATGGATGGAAGGCGAAATAAAAAAGCATTACCCAAGCTTTACGTGGGTTGAACATGAATTTTTAGACAATCCTGATCAACCAAGGTAAGTAAAGGGTTTCATTTACTAAATTTGTGATTCATGATACATTCATTACTTTTAAATAAACAGATTCATTAAGTAAAGATGATCATTCTTCTGAGTCATTTACCCAAAATATTTAGATAAATGTTGTGCCACAACAGTAATTTTGAAAGATAAACATTATATTATATTAAAATGTCATTCAACGATTTTTGATTAGCGATATAAATCAAAGTAGGTTTCAAAGAGCTTACATGATTTTAAATTATGAATTGTTTATACATTTACAGGGTGTCCAGCTTCCATTAGGAAAAACTTTGCCAGATTATTCAGGAGGTCAAAACATACCAAAGAATTCAATAACACTTCCGTACTATCTCGAACCGTTTGAACGGTGTCCGGACAGTTGCGGACACGGACAATTGGGGACACGTCTTAAAAGTGGACAATTGCGGACACTAGAGATTAATGCTACTGACAAGGGTTTGTCAGGTCTCTACAAATATTTCACTGCCGGACAACTGCGGACACATGTTCTGGAAAGAGTCTGATTTCCACCTAAAGAACAGATACATACATGATATATGTACCTTAGGTTAGGTTATGTTAGGTTAGGTTAGTGTATGAAGTGTGATGGAAATCAGTCTTAAAATCATATATCATGTATGTATCTGTTCTTTAGGTGGAAATCAGACTCTTTCCAGAACATGTGTCCGCAGTTGTCCGGCAGTGAAATATTTGTAGAAACCAGTCAAACCCTTGCCAGGTAGCATTAATCTCTAGTGTCCGCAATTGTCCGCTTTTAAGACGTGACCCCAATTGTCCGTGTCCGCAATTGTCCGGTATTCGTTTGAACCGTCTCCTGTATGTGTTTTTACAAAATATTAATAGCTCCTTATATCACTGAAGACTTAAAAATAAGTATTATTAAGTCACAGATGATAATGGAATGATGCTACAGTTTATCACAACATTGATTGGGATCCATCATTGACTTGTTGGTATTAATAGTCAAAGGTTCCATGTAGAACAACATTTTATGTAATCTTTTAGTTACCGTGATAACGGTTGGTCTGTATTTTCTAATGACTGGTTTAATGCATTTAGAGAAGTTAATTCCAGATGTTTTGCTGTGTTTTTCAGTTATGTAAAATGAAAAACCATTCTTAAATAAAACCATTTAATTTTCAAGGCCTAAAAGTTGTATGCTGCCAAGAGACTCTGACAACAGGAAGTTTTGTTCCTTGGCAGAACATTGTGACAGCTGTGACGCAAGATGCATTATTCCGGCGGGATCACAGGCTACTAGAGTCAGAGTCGTCTGCAACCCAGGCTACAGTCTGAGAGGAGCTGTTGGTGACGTGTACAGTGGAGGAGACGTAGCTACATGTCTGTCAGGAGGCTCCTGGTACCCTCGCATACCGGAGTGTATAAGTAGGTTGAATATCATCAACCGTAATATATACTGTTTATGTGATTTAAATTTTTTTTTTATCTTGTACATAAACAAATTACAGTTCCAGTGGGGTTTTTTTTGTAGGAATACACAGGGGAAACAAACTGGAGTCATAGGCGTCACATAGGTCCTGTAATTACATTGCCCTGCGCATCAACACATTAAATAGCTACCACTAGTTTTTCAGGATGTAGTTACGATCTCGTCACTCTATTCTCCAGATGGTTGAACCAGGGTTAAACCCAGTTGAACCATTGGCACAGTACAGAGGCGGTAGTTTCGTCATTACACCTACATCTCCTGCAGCAACGGTCATTGCTCTTCCCATCATTTAAAGTCATTGAGTACTATAAAATTGAGAATTTCCAAGTATAGGAACCTCAAGTATGTAACTCTACGGGATCACCCTTCGTGGAAAATGTTGTTGACCATTAAACAGGTTGTTGTGATTTGCTACTCGCCTTGGGCTGCTTTCGTGGACTGAAAGTGTTGTTGTAATGCCGTAGGCAGATGAAATAATAGGTGCTCTACGATCTACAATGGTTCTAGTACGTGGAGCTAAAGGCTCTCGCCGTCTCCCCAGCGAGGCTCATGGGCTTCTTTGAAGCTGTCCCAAGGACGTTCCAGGATGAACTTAGGCATAAGCATACAAGGGTGATTTACAATATTGTCCCCATAAAAATAACATGGAGGGGGAAATTTAACTGACGTGTATACCCTATAAGTAAGAAAGTGCGACGTTTTTTTAATTTTCCAAACGGTTTGGTCTTCAGACCAACATTCGTGAACATTTCAAGAATCTTGTTTATTTATAAATGATCTAGAATTTATATACCTGAGTCAGTAAGTAGTTTCATAAAATATTAAATAGCCTACTTTACATTGCAGATACATACTTTTCCATAACATTCTAAAGAGTATGTGATAAAATACCGTCTAGAACAGGTTTAAATTAGGTTCTCGATCTAGTCCAGTTGCTCCCGCATGATGCCAGTCTTGTGGAGGTCAGGTAGATTGATGAGGTACACTACTGTAAGTTGAGAGGACATATACAGTGGTGGATACTGGCCACATTTCAATATTCAGGCTCCTGGTACTATCGTAGCCCAGAGTGGATTAGTACGCTGTAATATACACAACAATCTGCAGCCTATTTCATCCACACTTTAAATAAATCGTGCAAAATAGGCTAGCAAAAGTCAATACTTATAGGTCAAGCTTCTTCCTAAACCCTCATATGATGTTACTGAAGGTGATTTCTACGAAACACTACTCCTCCGTTAATAATGGACGGACTTTTACAAACGATGTGTCAAAATTATTATTTTTTTGTGTAGACACCTCCTTTCACTAATTCCTGTAATAAAAGTCCTCGGGCTTTACTACAGGCCATCAAAATCCGAATGTATTTCTTATGAAGAAAACATTTTGTTTACTTAAACAGACGAATAATTTGTATTAATTACAGCTGTTCATACTAAACACATGACACACCCAACAGCGTTTGTTTTCAGTTTCGATAACTGATTTTATCTATGTTTTATCTATGCTGAAATGGAGTGATTGATTACATTATCTTTGAGTTGACTATTTTAAGTAATCGGAAATTATGACTTCTATCAGTTTTGAAATAGCGCCTGTAATACTTTGCAATTGCTCGAATTCGAGCAACAGGTACACTAGTATTAAACTATTGTTTGTTCTGTTTAATCTGATTATAAAATACACGTGCATGTTGTAATCATATATAATATTAAAGAAATCCTGTGATGGAAAAGCATGTTTCTAATTAGTTATGACATTCAAATATTAAAAGATTCGCAGAGTTAAGTATTGATCACTATAACAATCCTTTGTTTCAGAGGTGACTGGGAAGAAATACATTGCAGGCGATCCATGGAAAAACGTAAGTAATTTTTCTACGGCAATTTTATTCATGTCTACATGGAAACGTGGTTGATACTTTAATTTCATCCATGCAATTTTCAGGGAGTATGTAATAAAGTTATTGTAGATGCCTGGTAAAAGTGTTTTTCTTTAGTCTTTGACTTTTCAATAGAAACGGTTTTGTAAATTTATATTAATATTTAAGGGGTTTGGAATATTAAAAGAAACTATCTCAATTAACACAGAACATATTTCAGGTAACTTGGGATGAAGCCAGGGATAACTGCATTGCCAAAGGAAGACAGCTGGCAGTGATCAAAAGTGAAGATCAACAAAAAATGTTTGAATACGCTGCTGACGAGAAATTCAAGGAAAATCGTAAGATAAGTTTAAAGCAATAAGAGCAATAATTTATTCTTGATTTTCTCCTTATTTTGAACCAAGGAAAAATAATTACTTTGGTATAAAAATAAGATTTTCTCATTTTTTGTATAATTTGATGTGAAATTGAAAAAGCAATGGTTGAAAATATGTATTCTTTTTAATTAATTAACGTTCGGATAAGATTTTGCGTACTCACCAGAAAGTAATCATTTATTAGAGCAATCTTTTGGTGGTTCAATTGAACAATGACAGTTTTGATACTGAAACCGGACAAAGTTTTAACGTCCGAATGTTTTGTAAATTTTTATTGGTAGTTAATAAAATTAACCAGAAGATATAAATTTTAACATAACACATTTTATTTATTGTGTTTTGTTTCAGGTGAAGATTCCAGGTCTATTTGGATCGGTCTGGCGGACGAGGCTTGGGTGGACGATGTTTGGTTAGACACTAATTGGTATCTAAGGTTTGTTTGGGTCGACGATCAGCCATTGAGGAATGCTGATATCAGGCCCTGGCGGGAAGGAGAACCTAACAACCACGAATGGTACGAGAATTGTGTACAAGCAGAAACGGAAAATGACAGAGACCCAAACACCACATATAAGTGGAACGACGTTTCCTGCTACAATAGGAACTTCTATATATGCAGTAAAGGTAAATAGTCCAAGTTTAAATATGTATTCAGATATGACATGGTGTCCACACAATTTCCATACCTATGATTTTTATAAGAGGGGTGGAATTAAATGTTACAACGCAGGAATATTGTTCCAGAATTTCCTAGGTATTATACTGTATTCTATCTTGATGTCTATCTGTGCTGCATTTGTCTTTGTTGAACAACGGTTTGTCTTTGCTGAGGGTGCCAAGAACTAAAGAATTTCGACAGGCTATTGCTATTGTTAGATCATGGATCCAATGTGCATCTTCTAAAGGCGTAGCCAAGGAAAGTTGTAAATGCATGAAGAAACACTGATTCAGTTAATGTTTTAAAAAAGATTGAACCTCAACCACATAAATTAACAAGAAAGTGTGCAGTAAGAATCGGCTTGAGCTGAAACCCATGTTGATACTATTTTAACTACAATATTTGGTATGAACATTTAGCTAGTGTAACAGTTAAGCTCTAAAAGGCTATAGGCCTATAACCGAATATGTAGCCGTTGGTCTTAACTAAATAAGTCTAAAAAATCTTCATAAACAAACTATCACTCTTGATTTAACTGAAATTAATTGTTAATTGTAGTGGGTTAAAAATGTCATGTTGCAAAAAGTTAATATTGTGGGCTTTTATAATGGACATAAATTATTGTGCTTCTACTTGCAACACTTTTAAATAGGCAAAATTTGTTTTTTGCTATTTTTTTCATAGTTTGAATTAGGCTATGTCGAACTTTTTATATGGTACTTAAAATAATACTATGGTTTTATTCCCAGCCAAAAAAATACTAGCTTAGCTACTCTTTGGTTTAGTCCTTATATCGACACAGTTTCTCGATTATGTACACCTTGTTAATAATTTATTTTTCGATGGTACGGCTAACTTTAACTCAAAACTAAGTAGGCCTACGTAAACATTGTTAAGATTTTTGGATGTTGGTCTCATACACTAAAACAAAATAGATATATATTCTTGGTGTTTGAACGAAAATTAGGCAGTGGTATTTTGTAGTTGCGAAAATCAAATATATTGAAAGGCAAGTGGTCCAAGCCCCTCATAGTTTTATTTATATAAAGCTTTATTAATAATAATTGAACCTACCCCTCTCGCAGCAAAGCACGAGACGCCAACCTCTTAGCAACAAGGGCGTTTGTTTACATCTTTAATATTTTCACTTACATTGTTTACCAAAAGGACAACATAGCATTATATTAACCATGAATCACTGTTGGATTGGAAAATGGTAAAATTAAGATTATAAAAAAGAAACCATGTTGACTTGAGCAATAAAAACAATGTAATGAAAAAGTAAACAGAAAGAAATAATAACATATGATAAATAAATATACACATGTTAAATGCAGATCAAGGGGGAAAAGTCTTGAACATACTGCCCGCCTTAAAGCCACGAAGGGCTTTAACCAGAGTCAAGAAATAGTGTCACACGTTGTAGTCGAGTGGAACAATCACGCTTCTTTTGGAGGGACACTATTTCATCTGCAAAGGTGGCTTGTTGAACATGATGAAATATCTTGAGACGAGCTTTGTAGATTTCAGACGATGAGAGAGGACCACTGAGACGGTTATTTTGATTACGACAATTGTGAATGAAGCGGTTAAGAAGAGCGACAATGCGTTGGAGTTTGTTCCACGATGAGTAGGCAGAAAGGAGTTCCAATTCCTTTTGAGGAGCTGATGTAAGAACAACTAAAGGTGTCTTCTTGATTTCTTCTGACGAAGATAGGTCCTCAGGAGTGAAATGCGAGGTAGGCCATCAACAAGTGGGGAGCTTCAGCCAAGGAGGGCCTGTCCACCAAAGTGGATGGTTGACCAGTAGGGAAGCAGAAATTCCTCTTGACGCACAGTCTGCAGGATTATCAGTACTTAATATGTGTCGCCAAGAGTTGATGGGAACAAGTTCTTGAGTTTGAGAAACCCTGTTGGCTACAAATGTCTTGAGTTTGTAGGGTGGAGTCTGTAACCATGTCAAGACTATCGAGGAGTCACTCCATAGATAGATATTTTTGATGGCAATTTTATCTGAGAAGAGAGAATGACAATGTGCTACTAATTGCGCGAGAAGATGAGCAGCACAAAGCTCAAGGCGAGGAAGAGTTACTCTTTTGAGAGGAGAGACACGAGTCTTTGAGATTATTGGACGAATGATGGTGTCACCATTAGACATCTGACAGCGGAAATATACGACAGCAGCGTAGCCACTCTCTGACGCATCTGCGAAGCCATGTAATTCTACGGTGCATGACAGGGAAAACTGTAACGCTCGAGGAATAGAAATTTGAGATAAATATTGAGTATCGATTAGGAATGAATGCCATTTTTCGGCGAGGTTAGTGGGCAGGGGATCATCCCAGGATAAGCCTGTGGTCCATAGTAACTGCATAAAACATTTTGCTTGCATGATGCAGGGAGCGAGAAATCCACAAGGATCGTAGATTTTTGCTATGATGCTCGAGATCGAACGTTTTGATGGATGAGGGTCCATAGGGAAGTTAAGGTTGTAAGTGAAGCAGTCAGAGTGGGGAGACCAATGTAGGCCAAGTATTGTGAAGTGTGGCTGTTCAGAATCTTGGAGAAAGACGGGAGTCTCAAGATGCTCCTTGGGGAAAGCTTGTAGAAGACGATCAGAGTTGGAGACCCATTTACGTAATTCAAATCCTCCTTTTCGTAACAGGTTGACCAATTGATCTTGAAGTTTCAAGGCCGTTTCCTCAGTATCCGCACCAGTGATGATGTCGTCAACGTAGGTTTGCGTTCTAAGTACTTGCGCTGCCTCGGGAAAGTAGTGACCTTCGTCGTCAGCGAGTTGGTGAAGATTATCGGAAGAAGAGTCACTTAAGATAGCAGAATTTGCAGGTTCAGGATGGGACATTAAGATCTCAATAGTAGCCTCGATATGAGAAAATAAACTTTCAATTTCATCCAGGTCTTGAGACAATGTCTCGTCAGAGATAGGATCCTCTTCTAAGATTAAAACCCGTTGCACATTGTTGTCGAATTCTTCTTTTCTTTTAAGAATTTCATTTAAATGAGCATTAAGTTGGTTAATTTGAATAGGGGTGAGTTGTTCCTTTGAGGTATAGTATTCATCAACAGTATCTTTAAGTTTATTAAAACGAGTTTTAATTAGAGATGTTGAGCGAGTGTAGGTGGATGACTTAAAATCAGAAGTTTTAGGAGCCATTGTAGTAGTAGAACACAAAACTTAACAGCAGCACACACAATATAAAAAGGTCTTGAGTACACACAAAATCTCAGTATGAAGTAAAAAAGATGAATTGTACATCAAAGATATAGATAATAAGTTTCTTTCAATATAGTCTTTAACTAGAAGGAGGCATGTATAGTCTATTAAGTGCACAAAAATTAATAAACTTGAGCTTGTTTGATTGATTGACACCAAAAATATAGTATTTAAGTAAGTAAAGAGTTCATTTCATGCCGTGATCTGAGTGCAAACAGATTATAAAAAGGTAAACTTCAAAAACAATAAATTAATAGTGGACTGTAAGGGAACTGAGTAGAACATTTAGATTATAAATGGGGTAATGTTAACAAGGAATGAATATAGTTACCAGGTTTTCATCCGGCTGCGAATTAGGACCAAATGTTGGATTGGGAAATGGTAAAATTAAGATTATAAAAAAGAAACCATGTTGACTTGAGCAATAAAAACAATGTAATGAAAAAGTAAACAGAAAGAAATAATAACATATGATAAATAAATATACACATGTTAAATGCAGATCAAGGGGGAAAAGTCTTGAACAATCACTCACTAAAGTTCTACTTTACTTTGACAGACCAAGGTCTTATTTTGTGTTTTTGATCATTCATTATAACTATCAAAGACATGAATTTATAGTAGAATTTTGGTAATTCTTTCCTTTAATTTACCTTTTTAACAAAGGTAATGCGTTACGTTTATTGCATGTGCTCATGGAAGTTGTTATATTGCTAATATAATAGTTTTTGTTTCAGGTAATTCAGCGAATGACTATGTTCCTGGTGATCCTTGGGTAAAGGTTAGTCAAAATATTACATCTTCTTATCCTGTATTGTATAAGACTATTTACAAAAATGTTACAACTTTAATAATGAGAACTGATTTTCAAAGATAAATGTAAAAAATACGCATATAATCTCCAGAGTTTAGGTGTAATAATTGGATCTTAAATGCACTTTTTATTATTTTGGTTGGTAAATTGACATACATAGTTTGACGGAAATAAAGGGTGTTTCAACCTCCTTCAAACTTTCAAAACAAAAAAGGTTTTGCTAACTTTAAGATTTACAACAAGTACCAATAAAATGAGTTGCGTTCGTATAATGTTGTGATCTGATTAAAAAAAACAGGCAAATGTTTTTGGAACAATAGGGCATAGACGAATAGAATAAATATAGACTGTCAAAGGAAGGTTCCGCGATGTTTCCGAGATCGTGCTCGATGTTCGATTCGCTGCCTTCGTCGGCTCCTCGCCAGTCGCCGTAAGCACAGAAAACATACTCCGTAAGCTACCAGCAGACACTGCAGCGGTGTGCGCCGTAACAACACACTACTGCACTGCTGTCTGTCTATGTTTTATTCTTTTTATCTATGGTTAGGGCGAAGAGTGTGAATGTTGTTTGATATTGATGTTTGTTTATGACAAGAAACGTTTGAAGAACATCTAGAAACTCATTTATACCTACTATTTCAGGTAACTTGGCAAGCAGCGGATGAACTATGCCATAGAAAGGGTCACCAATTGGCTATTATAAGAAATGAAAAACATCGTCGAGCGTTTGCTGCTACTGCGGCACAAAAGTTTAGACAAACAGGTGAAGTGATTATTGTTATTAACAAATACATTATTTCCTACCTAAATTATATTTATTTTAAACGATAATAGTTTTAACTGTGCAATAAGTAAACACGTAACAAATGGGCATTAGGATTAAACGAATATTTTATAACAATTAATTGCAAACAATCCCTTATTTACCAATAATTTATCTTAATTATTGAAAGACAAAAAATGTCTTGAAATATTTCACCAGTCCATTAAGATTTTATAAATTTAATAATAAGTTTAATAATTAGTAAGTTTAATTATTAGGTCAGAAGAGGAGTGTTACATCCAAAACTATTAAGCACGAGGAATTATTATACACCAATACAGAATGGCAGATGTTTGAATTACAAACGAAATGAGAAAATTTAAAGGTAAATAAGTAGTCAATGAAAAAGACTCGGTGAAAGTAGAACCGATCGTGCCAGAGAGTTGATAAAATCAGGCAGTTGACCAAACTGACTGGATCAAGGTGACCAATCATATGATCAACAACACTTGTTCTCTATGTTAAATGCTCTAATTGGTGAAGGAAGCGAGCTGGTCTAGTGGTAGAGCTTTAGAGGCCAAGGTCCCAGGTTCAAATCCCACCATTCCTCAATGTATTTTATCTATGTGATAATGCCGTTACCCCCTAGGACTAGCCTGAAGTAATATATAAAACAGATCCTAGCATCGATCCTAGCAGATCCTAGGGACTCGAACCTAGCATCATATGTGGTACATACAAATATTGGTAGGCGTAAAAGTCCTTAGAAAAAATTTGATCTCAAAGATTTTTTAATATTTTCTCATCAGGTAGTAAAGCAGAGAATTTGTGGATCGGTCTGAAGAAGTTAGAACTGAGGATTAAGTGGGTCGACAACTCTTTCCTGGGCCCGGGCCCGTACACCAACTGGCTGCCTTCAGAGCTCACGAGGGATGGAAGGCCTCGTGTCGATTGTGGGGGAAGACCTTGTGTCAAAGCTGAGGGGAGGAGAGACTTTGAGCCGTTGTGGTCAAACTTTAAGCCATACCAGTGGAACGACGTTTTGTGCACTGCCAAGCGGTCGTACTTCTGCGAGGACAAAACAGGTGATTAGTATTTCAATTGGGATTATTTGGTGCTCTAATTACATGATGCAGAAAGTAACTGTGACATTAATTTAACGGTGGGTATTTGTATTTTAAAATTTTAATTAATGCATTTTTGAGGTAAAATAAATTGTGGCCCCATGTTTTTTTTTTTTTTTATTATGAATAATAATGTTTATTTGTATTTACGTTGGCACTAATTGCAACATAAAATTCATAAACAAAGGATTTGTTTTAAATTTGCTGTTCTAGTTGTTTAGTTTATTGAAAAAGAGTTGTTATGATTCGATGTGAGGGTTAAAGAAACAATCCAAGGAAGGGAACTGCATTTGATTAGCCACTGCAGGATGTCATTGATATGTTTTGTGGAACTATAGTATGAATAGAACTATGGTTTAAAGGTGGAACTATGATTTGCTCTGCTCCTGGCACTGATAGTTTTTGTAGCATATTCTCGGATTAAAGTTTGTATCAAAAATGATATACACCAAACAACCTATGGTGTAAGTGTTTGCAGTTGCACTTCCAAAGTTATATTTACCCTTTATTCATAAATAAGTCTAAATAACTTCTTGATCAGCATTGTACGTGTTATTAAATTTACGGAAAGTAAATAAAAGAAACGTCTTATAACACTTAAAACATATATTTACGCTTATACTGTTACTCACAAGACGGTAAATATACAAAAATATGGTAAGTGGTGATCGATTTTGATTGGACACTCCAATATTTAGCGAATAGGAGATTCGCCTATTGGGTCTGATGATGATTGGAGTGTCCAATCGAAATCGATCACCACTTACCATCTTTTTTGTATATTTACCGTCTTGTGAGTAACAGTATAAGCGTAAATATATGTTTCAAGTGTTATAAGACGTTTCTTTTATTTAGTTTCCGTAAATAAGTCTCACAAGAACATATTGGATTCGCTAGTAAATGTTTCACTCCGTAATATTTAATTATTTTCCTATGATTGCTACTACTTATTTCCACCGTTTGGGTGAAATTTGCTTCAATTATGTTTATTATTTGGGTGAAGCTTTTGATTGCCAATATATTTTAAAATTGAATAATACATTTTATAAGCTGCTTATGATTATTGTGTATGTTTGTTTAATCATAACGACTTGTTTTTGTTCAGCTATTGAAATTTATATAATTTATGGTGTTCCATAGTGTTGTTTATTTAATAATACAAACGTACAATTAAAAAATGACAAAAGGATTTCCCAGCAAAAAACATAAATAGATCCATCTCTAGGACCACAAATACTTGTGCATCAACAATAAATCATTCAACCAATTTTTTCAGATTCTACAGAATCCAACATTGCTCCTGGGGACCCATGGCTTAAGGTATTCAGGACCATAAGTGTAAACTCATTTAATCGCTTTTTGAACTACATTGATTACCTAAAATCATTCTAAATACACTAAGACAGACCTGTACCCATATGAATGGAAGGCTTCTTTTAAGATTGGTTTAGAGTAAGTAATTTATGTCTGTAATAAACCAATAGCCCCTATAGAATATGTCATTTTAAAAATATTATATTATATTTCATTAGCCCCAGCTATAATTCATGTTTCAATTTCTAACGTAGTATGGATAAATAATTTGAAAGAAATAATTCTTTAATAGTATACAATGTTGACATATCTTATTTGAAATAAGATAGCGATGGAGTTCTTGCAGTCTTAAACAAGACTTAATTGTGTCATGTAAAGAAGTTTTTGTATTATATTATTTTGTGCCTTTTGATGTCTACTAAAAATGGTTAGCTTAGCTAAACTAACAATTACTTTGGGTTATTATAAATCATAGAGATACATAAAGTTACAAACAAGATCCAATTTACCTAGCTAAAAGTTCTTTATTTTGTAGGTAACGTGGCACGAAGCGAGAAAAAATTGTGATTCTATTGGAAAGAGACTCGTCGTATTAAAAACTAAGGAAAAGATACAAAGATTTAAAGAAGCTGCTGTAAATATCTTTAGGAGCAAAGGTAATTGATTGCATAAATGTTATTTAGTTTGCATTACAACGATGGTCACGGCGTTCTTCAAAGTTATAAACTGCTAGATATTATGTTGGTACAAACGTTCTACAATATTATTATACTGCATTTGCATAGTGTGAATATAAAAAAGAACATAGCCTACTATTTCATTCAAATCCAATTAGCCTCGGAATAGTTTATCCCTATATATTTATCTCTTATAGGTTATTGTATAGATTTTTAAAAACCGTTATTAAGTATGCTTTCTGAAGAAGGAGGTTGCATATTTTGGAATAGGCAGATTATGCCTACGTCATATTATTAACGTAGTTCGAATATTTTTATTGAATACTAGAGGACCCATGCTTCTCCACAGCGTTGAAATAAATATCATATCCGAGAAATAATCAAATTTATGATTTTTTATTAAATAATACAGTATCTTGAACTTAACGGATTCAAACGATCAATAGCTCCAATTGAAGCCTATAATTTACTGATTATTTAGAGTCTAAAACATATAAAAAAATATAAGCAATACTGTTAGCTGTTGATTGTTAACTATAGAAAAACCTTATAGAAATCATTTTTTTGTTGGTTGTTCACCTTGCGTTTTCTTGAAACTTAACATATTTGAATAACTAATAGCTTAAATAAAAGTCGGTATTTCACTGAAGGTTCTTAGACCAAAATATATATGATTATATAATTATAACTGGTGAAATACATCTAAATTGGAGTAAAAAATTTGAAAATAAATAAAATTTATGTATTTTGGTCGAGCAAAACAGTAGATCAATATATGCCGATGCTTTATGTGAAATCTGTGCGTTCATACCTTCAATTTGATACCTCAATCATGAAAATCTGTCGGGTATAAGAGTTAAACGAACTCGGAAAAGAAAAACTATTTTTGTTTATAAGATACAGTGTTTTCATCTCTAGGAGAATCTCCAAGTTCGACCTGGATAGGACTAGCAGACTGGATAGCAGACTGGGAGTGGGAGGGTCGCTTTACATGGGTGACTGGTCAACCTCTGAGGGGAAGCGATTTCTCTGCTTGGTGGCTCCTCAACGACGAGCCCGACAATGAAGGGGGTCATGAGAACTGTGTATATGCATGGCCCAGCGAATTATATTATGGTTACCCGGATCCCAACGGGACATCCTACTTCTGGAGTGACATCCCATGTCAGTTCAAGAATTTCTACTTTTGCTCTGAAGGTGATAAGATGATCATTGTTAAGGTTGATTCACACATCAGTCCAGTCACAGTTCCGTCACATTTTAGACACAGTCCAATCACAGTTCAATCACAGTTCAGTCTCAGTTGCATCCTCAATTCAGAAGTCAACTGTCCGTCAGTTGGTTTCAGTCAGTCTTCTGTCACTTTATTTACAGTGATGTTACAGTCAAGAACTTTTTATTAAAACAAAATATTCTATCAATTTGTCATCATCCATCTTAATGATTGTTATAAATAGTTCCTAAGATATAAACACGATTACTTAAATAACAAAAACACAATTTTTTTTATGTCAAACACATACATTGCACAAGTGTCAGGCGTCCGAATGTGACTGAATTGTGAGGGGCCGAAACTGATGTGTCTGAATAGACCTTAATTCATTTTGGTTGAACAGGTTGAACTTATCATAGCGTCTGAAAAACATATTTACATTTTCATAACATATTTTAAGTCATTTCATAATCTAAAATTAATTGGCCTAACTCCCTATATCAACATTTCCAAATCTTATTAATGTATTTCAAGGGACAACAACTTTATCATACCAAACTTAACATACAATACAATGTTAGTTTCTTGAAATACTTACCGGTAAATTGTATTTATTACATTAAAACTGACAGCAATCACGACAATAATGATTGTAATAATAATACTACTGAATGCAAAGTATAGTCCCAAACAGAAATAAATAAATAATTTTAAATTTAAACCTTACCATCAAAATGGTCAACTTATGAAATTGTACGCAACAGAAGTGTGAATATTCCAAAATAACTTTTTATTGTTCAGATTTACAAAATATATATGAATGTTACAGAAGGATCGGTGGACGGTAATTATGTCCCAGGAAATCCTTGGACTGAAGTAAGTTGTTACATTCATTAATTAATAAGTAATTGGTGTGTTTAAAGAAACCCATTTTAATGGATATTGAAAAATATAACAATGTTACGCGGAATCATATCCATACAAATAGGTTATTTAATTCATTTTTGAAAGTAATTAACCAGTATAAGTTGCAAATTATGTTTTATCAAAATATTCCGTGAGTAATACGCATTAACTGTTTGTTATTTACACAAAATGTTAAAGAATGTTAACCTAAGCAATACGTACAAATGTCTTATTTTTTGTAAACATTTAGGTAATATGAAAATAAATTTAAACAGCACGGTAGGTTACTTTTAAAATCATATTACGGGAGTGTCAAGAATAAATTAACTAGGAATGATGAAAATATTGACTGATCTTAATTAATACAATATATAAATAGTCCAAGAAAACAGTGTTGCAACATGGAAAAATTTGCAACAGAAACTTCCTCAATGGCTTTTTGTTTAGAAATTATAGCTCTATAACATATTCAAAATCAGACAAAATCCGACAATGGGAACACCCCAAAAACACACATCAAAATGGCGGACACAATCTTTTCAAAATTGAGAATAATATTGATTAATTTAAACTGTGTATGGATATAAAAAGTAAGTTGATTTGACTGTAAAACTGATTGATAAAAAACAACTCTCATTAGTCATGTTCATCACTATCATAGTTTGAAGGGCGATGGCAGTTCTGACATCCCTTTATTTGAAAATCCCCACATGCTGTTTAACATGGTAATCCATTGCGCTTGCAACCGCAGTGTAAAGAAACGCAGTTTGTTTTGCAGGAACATCGGATCATATTTAGAAGATAGTCTGAAGCTGGTGGTAAGTCGCAGAGTGTTGAATGGTAAACGTAATTTTCTTTATACCAACCACAATGTTCTGGATGCTGTAACTATCGGTAGAATCTCACGCAAAGCGTACAAATACAGATCCCAGGAGTTAATTGTGTCGGCTTCTATCAACATTCATACAGTCATAATCATTCACTGATATTCCAACCACAGTTGACTGGTTCTCGAGGAGGATTGCAAAGGATTTGTCTTTGTCTCCAGAGCAGTGTCAATTAAAGATAACACATCACTTTGCTCAATGTCCTTTTTTGTTTTTTGACCGGTCATAATACCGTCGAGTATGTCGCAAGCCTTCTGGACAAATTCTTGGGAAGTTCCATGTTCATTGGGAGGAAAAACCTCTGACACTATTAGGGTACTGCGGGCTGCATCTACAATCATATGTCCTCTCATCGCCCTAGAAACAGCTTTTCCAGGCATCAATAAAAATAAATATTCCTGATCCATTCATGTGAGTACCAATTGCACCCAATGCATTTGATCAGCCTATGGAATGTTCCAAGCATTAAAGTAACTGTTGCTCGAAATCGAGCAAAACTGCAAGCTGTAATAAAAGAATTAACAACAAAAAAGCAAGACCTCAATCAAAGAGTCGCTCTAAAGTAATTTCTGACTGATTATAGAAATATGGAAAATATTATGTTGTAAAAAAAAATATAAAAGTAGTCTACAATATTTGAATATAGATCCGCTCTCATACTGCTTTGGTTATCTCTCATGTACTGTAGGTGGGTGCCCTCTGTGAGAACGTAGATGTCAACCACACACTGTAAAGTGAGCTTTTCAGACGCTAAATCCCTCTCTTGACGCCAACCAGTACTACACGCACTATAGCATTGTTAAATTATTTATACTATATGTTCTGTTTTAGGCGTGTTTAAATTAGGGGCACCAACCAAAGTCTCCGGTTGAGAACATAAGAGGGTAAGCAAGTGGATCTAACGACTGATCTAGAACTGATTCGCGTTTAACATTACTAGTTTTTGGAAAAAACGAAGATTTATTTGGCCAGGTGGTGCTCTGTTTTCAGCTTTAAAAATACCTGCGACATTTATTTAAGTAGCATCATTATAGAGAGGAAAGTCACTCCTTTTGTCTATTACTATCCACATGAATCTCACTTGACTCCTCGTCCCAACACATTGCTGCCACAATTTAAAAAGATTAGGCAAATAGGTTGGCAATGTGACCCTATTCCCGCATATTTTTTCATGGCATTTTTTGTTTTAATTGTGTTTCATGCGCTGTTGGGTTCCAGTGTCAATGTCGTACTCAACTATACATCTGTGCGTGTTCAGGATAACCTTCTTAAGGGATTAGATTACCTACTCGGAGGTAAAACGTGTCATGGATCTTTTAATTGTAGATCCCCTGTGTGATCCTCTCATCTAAATTAGCTTCAGAGCTGACCATGCCAAAGACAAAATTGAATTGACGAATTTTATCCAAATAATTTCTAGATCTAAGTCTCGCAGCCCTGTTTTCAGATTGGGAGTTTCCAATAAGTTCCTGAAAGTATGGTGAATTCCGCAGTTGAAGTAAACGGTTCTTTCATTTATGGTAACAAAGAGTTAAAATTGAACTGTTTCAGCCAGTCTTTTCTTTTCTTAAAATGTAAGCCACCACAATGCAAACATTTAACGTTCATTTGTCTGAGGAGATGTATCCATGATGTATCACCATGGTAGTACCGCCACTCTGTATCCTTCAAATGTTTCATTGGTAGGTTGATGCAAGCTGTCACGTCCGCGTTCCCTCCAGCCACTCACAGTTCTTCGTCTTACTGGTGGCTTGAATACGAAAGTTAACCAAACAACAGAAAACACTACAACGGAATTTGGATATACATTGTAAATTACGTAACATAGTAATGCAAAGCGTTTCAAACATTCACTTCATCATACCAAACTGTAACTAAAACTACATGAAAATTCAGTAAAATACGTTGTAAGGTAAATTAATTCAAATAAGTAGTTATGTATATACCGGTTCGAGCGCAGGATGAGGATGAGAGCCCTGAAATAGGGTACACCCTAGAATAGGGTACAGCCCCCAAAATAGGGTACACCCTAGAATAGGGTATACCCTAGAATAGGGTACACCCTAGAATAGGGTACAGCCCTAAAATAGGGTACAGTCCTAGAATAGGGTACAGCCCTAGAACGGGGTACAGTCCCAGAACGGGGTACAGTCCTAGAATGGGGTACGGTCCTCAAAGTCCGGACACTCAGAGAGCAGTTTTTTGTAGTTCCTTTTCATAGAATCCGCCTATAATTTTTTCCCCATTTTGATTGGCGGTTTTATTATTAACCAGTCTGGTGTTTAAGATTTACGCTATTGTAAATATCTCTGAAGTCCAGTTTTGTTTATATTTATTGAATGTTGATCTTGAATAACCGTTACTCACTATGATGCAACATAGAATAATCTAGATTGGAGTCAGACATGTGACTTACCATAAAACAATCTAGATTGGAGGTAGAAACCTATATAGAGTATGCTGTACGCTTGAACTGCTAGTTGTGTTACAAAAGTGTTAGTGAAGTGTGTTAGGTAAGTGTGTATAGTCTAATAGGGTTATTATTACTCTGACTCACAATATATTTTCATCTTGTGGGGTCAAAGTTGAATCAATAGTGGAGATAACTAAAACATGTTCTTAATTAGTCTTTTGCTATCTCGTTGAATAATTTATTTGGTTGTGAGAATATTGTTCTCTATATAGAGGTGATGGCCAACACTACGGTGTGCTCATATTGCAAGAAATCTATTTCTAAACCTAATATATCAAGACATAAGAAAATATGTGTGCAGAATCCTAATCAGAATCCTAAAGTGCCATGTGATTATTGTAGAAAATTGTTCAGTGAAAACTATCTGTCTAGTCATGTTAAAAATTGTAAACAAAATCCAACCATACAACAACCTAAAACAAATCGGTTGGCTCCTTCTAATGAAGATGAACCTCAACCCAGCACTAGTGGGATTAGTAGCTTAAAACGTAAACCTCCGTCTGATTCGACTCCTAATGGGCAGCCCCCAAAAAAGGT